CGGAAGCAAGTCTTTATGACAACATCCAGGTTTGACTCCCTACTCTGCTATGGAAGCTTGCTGGGTGACTTAGGGCCGGTGGCGCACACACACAGAGCCAGTTTGGTGTCGTGGTTAAGAGCGCGGACTCTAATCTGTGAGAACCGGGTTTGATTCCTCACTCCTCCACATGCAGCCGCTGGTGTGACCTTGGGCAAGCCATAGTTCTCTCAGAGCTGCTCTCTCAAAGGCAGTTCTCGGGAGAGCTCTCTCAGCCCCACCTACCTTACAGGGTTTCTGTTGTGGGGAGGGGAAGGGATTATAAACCGCTCTGAGACTCCTTTGGGTAGTGAAGGGCGGGGTATAAATCCAGTCTCTTCTTCTTCTCTTCAGCCTAGTGTACCTCACAGGGTTGTTGTGAGGATACAATGGAGGAGAGCAGAACCGCATAAGCTGCTGTGGGTCCCCATTGGGGAGAAATGCAGGATATAAATAAGTAAATAAATAAAATCAGAGCCATTAACCCCAATGTAAGGTATCAAGTCCAGACAAGTCCAGAGACAAACGTCGAGCTTCGCTCCAAGAGACAATGGACTATACAGATCAAGGCCCGCTCCAATCAGGGGGCTAGGTTCCCGGCCGAGAGCCTATGGGACTCTAGGCCACTGTAAATAATCTATAGGGAAGTAGGGGTGTGTTTTGGGTGGCGGTTTCTCGGGGGATATAAGCCGGCCTGCAAGCCGGCCAAAGTCGTCTTGTTCCGGATAGAATAAAGTACGCTTTGCTGAAATCACTCTCCGTTTGCGTACTTTTCACCCAATTAAAACTTGACATTGGACAATATAAGGGGGAAGGTCTTTTGGTGTTACAGTCCTGATCGATAGTTTCAGGTGTGCTGTGTCAGTCTGCAGTCGAAGCAAATGGCTATGTTAGTCTGCAACAGAAGAGCAAGTGTCAGTCTGCCATTGCTGTGACAGTCTGCCATAGAAGAGCAAGATTCCAGCCCAGTAACACTGTAAAAGACCATATTACAGGGTTTGACAATAAAAAAAGCTCCCTTCCTCAAGCTATCTGAGGAAGGGAGCTTTGACTCCCGAAACCTCATACCCTGAACCTTTTGTTGGCCTCTTCAATGCACTCCTGGACTTGAACCCAGCTCTTTGTTAGTCTGCAACAGAAGAGCAAGTGTCAGTCTGCCATAGCTGTGACAGTCTGCCATAGAAGAGCAAGATTCCAGCCCAGTAACACTGGGATCACTGCCTCATGGATCACTGCCTTGTCGTGGCGAGGGGGCTTGCGCAGTTCAATGAAGCTGTGGGCTATGCCGTGAAGGGCCACCCAAGACGGACAGGCCACAGCAGAGAACTCAGACCAAGCGTGATCCACCTGGAGAAGGAAATGGCAACCCACTCCAGTATGTTTGCCAAGAAAACCCCATGGACAGTATCAAAAGGCTAAAAGATATGACGCCGGAAGATGAGCCCCTCAGGTCGGAAGGTGTCCAATATGCTACTGAGGAAGAGCAGAGGACAAGTACAAGTAACCCCAGAAAGAGTGAAGCGGCTGGGCCAAAGCCGAAAGGACGCTCAGTTGTGGATGTGTCTGATGGTGAAAGGAAAGTCCGATGCTGCAAAGAACAATACTGCATAGGAACCTGGAATGTAAGATCTATGAATCAAGGTAAGCTTGACGTGGTCAAAAATGAGATGGCAAGACTGAACATCGATATCCTAGGAATCAGTGAACTAAAGTGGACAGGAATGGGCGAATTTAACTCAGAAGACCATTATATCTACTACTGTGGCCAGGAATCTCGTAGAAAAAATGGTGTGGCCTTTATAGTCAACAAGAGAGTGCAAAAGGCAGTACTGGGATACAATCTCAAAAATGACAGAATGATTTCTGTCCGATTCCAAGGCAAACCATTCAACATCACAGTAATCCAAGTCTATGCCCCAACCACTGATGCAGAAGAGGCTGAAGTGGACCGGTTCTATGAAGACCTACAACACCTCCTAGAACTAACACCAAAAAATGATGTCCTCATCATCATAGGGGACTGGAATGCTAAAGTAGGAAGTCAAAAGGTAACTGGAATAACAGACAAGTTTGGCCTTGGAAAGCAAAATGAAGCAGGGCAAAGGTTAACAGAGTTTTGTCAAGAGAACACACTGGTCATAGCGAACACCCTTTTCCAACAACCTAAGAGGCGACTCTACACATGGACATCACCAGATGGGCAACACCGAAATCAGATTGACTATATAATTTGCAGTCAAAGATGGAGAAGCTCTATCCAGTCAGTAAAAACAAGACCTGGAGCTGACTGTGGTTCAGATCATGAGCTACTCATTGCAAAATTCAGACTTAAACTGAAGAAAATTGGGAAAACCACGAGGCCATTCAGGTTTGACCTAGATCGCATCCCTGATGAATATACAGTAGAGGTGAAGAATAGATTCAAGGGTCTGGATTTGATAGATAGAGTGCCTGAAGAACTATGGACAGAGGTTCGTGACATCGTACAGGAGGCAGCAATCACCACCATCCCAAAGAAAAAGAAATGTAAGAAAGCAAAGTGGCTTTCTGATGAGGCTTTACAAATAGCAGAGGAAAGAAGGAAAGCGAAAGGCAAAGGCGAAAAGGAAAGATTTACCCAACTGAACGCAGATTTCCAGAGAACAGCAAGGAGAGATAAGGAGGCCTTCCTGAATGAACAGTGCAAAGTAATAGAAGAAAACAATAGAATGGGAAGGACTAGAGATCTCTTCAAGAAAATTGGAGAAATCAAGGGAGCGTTCCATGCAAAGCTGGCCATGATAAAGGACAAAAACGGTAGGGACCTAACAGAAGCAGAAGAGATTAGGAAAAGATGGCAAGAATACACAGAAGAACTATACAAGAAAGACCTCAATGTCCTTGACAAACACGACGGTATAATCACTGACCTTGAGCCAGACATCCTGGAATGTGAAGTTAAATGGGCCTTAGAAAGCATTGCTAACAACAAAGCTAGTGGAGGTGATGGTATCCCAGCTGAGCTATTCAAAGTCTTAGAAGAGGATGCTGTTAAAGTTCTGCACTCCATTTGCCAGCAAATTTGGAAAACGCAACAGTGGCCACAGGATTGGAAAAGATCAGTATACATTCCAATCCCAAAGAAGGGCAATGCCAAGGAATGTTCAAACTATCGCACAATTGCACTCATATCACACGCTAGCAAGGTCATGCTCAAGATCCTACAAGCTAGGCTTCAACAGTACGTGGATAGAGAACTACCAGAAGTACAAGCTGGGTTTCGAAGAGGTAGAGGAACGAGAGATCATATTGCCAACATTCGCTGGATTATGGAGAAAGCAAGAGAGTACCAGAAAAATATCTACTTCTGCTTCATTGACTATGCTAAAGCCTTTGACTGTGTGGATCACAACAAACTATGGCAGGTCCTTAAAGAGATGGGAGTACCAGACCACCTCACATGTCTCTTGAGAAACCTGTATAAGGGCCAAGAAGCGACAGTTAGAACCGGATACGGAACAACTGATTGGTTCAGCATAGGAAAAGGAGTACGACAAGGATGTATACTGTCACCTTGCTTATTTAATATATATGCAGAGTACATCATGCGAAATGCTGGCCTGGATGAATCACAAGCGGGAATTAAGATTGCTGGGGAAAAGATCAACAACCTCAGATATGCAGATGATACCACTCTAATGGCTGAAAGTGAAGAGGATCTAAAGAACCTCTTGCTCAGAGTAAAAGAGGAGAGCGCAAAAGTGGGCTTGAAGCTCAACATCAAAAAAACTAAGATCATGGCATCCGACCCCATCACTCCTTGGCAAATAGAAGGGGAAGCTGTGGAAGTAGTGACAGACTTCACGTTCCTGGGATCCCAGATCACCGCAGACTGTGACTGCAGCCATGAAATTAAAAGACGCCTGCTCCTTGGGAGGAAAGCGATGGCGAACCTAAACAGCATGATAAAAAGTAGAGACATCACCCTGCCAACAAAAGTCCGCATGGTCAAAGCAATGGTATTCCCAGTAGTCATGTATGGCTGCGAGAGCTGGACTATAAGGAAGGCCGAGCGCCGAAGAATAGATTCTTTTGAACTATGGTGCTGGAGGAGACTCTTGAGAGTCCCTTGGACTGCAAGAAGAACAAATCAGTCAATCCTCAAAGAAATCAACCCTGACTGTTCCCTGGAAGGCCAGATAATGAAACTGAAGCTCAAATACTTTGGCCACCAAATGAGAAGGGAGCACTCACTGGAGAAGACCCTGATGCTTGGAAAGATTGAAGGTCAAAGAAGACGGGGACGGCAAAGGATGAGATGGTTAGACAGTGTCATCGATGCAACGAACATGAAGTTGAGCCAACTTCAGAGGACGGCAGAAGACCGGAAGGCCTGGAGAGAGCTCGTCCATGGGGTCGCGGACTCGACTGTGCGACTGAACAACAACAACAACAACACTGTAATAGACCATATTACAGGGTTTCACAATAAAAAAAAGCTCCCTTTCTCAAGCTGTCTGAGGAAGGGAGCTTTGACTCTCGAAACCTCATACCCTGAACCTTTTGTTGGCCTCTTCAATGCGCTCCTGGACTTGAACCCAGCTCTTTGGCAAACTCTACCCCGAAAGGGAAAACCTCGGTCGTCCTGCTGGCGAGACGGATCCCCCGTCCCTTTCGGGGAATCTCAGTTCCCGGGGGGTGGAGGTTAGTGGGGCGGGTGGCCCCTTCCCCAGCACACGCGTGCAGAAGCGAACCCGCGCTTCGCCGTTGCGTCACGTGTGAAAGGGATCCGTGATAGCGGGGGATCTTCAAGGAAGAAAAGGGGGAGGGGGTTGTGCTTTTTTTGTGTGTGTGTGACAACAACAAGCCCTTGCTCCCTTCGGAGGGAAGCCGAGGCTGCAAGGCGGGAAGAGGGAGACGAGAAAGAGGAGGCGGCGGCGGTGGTGGCGGCGGCGCGTCTCTGTCCCTCCCTCCTTCCCTGCCGTGTCATCCCGGCGAGCAGGCCAGGCCCCTCCTCCATTGTTAATCCCCCTGTTTGCTGCCGGGCGGGAGAGCGGTCTGAGGAGACCAGAAGAAGAGGGGGGCGCACAGTCCCACCACCGCCGCCACCACCACCAGCAGCAGCAGCACTGCCTGAGGCGGGCAGCAGCGAGGCTGGCCGCCCGGTTCCCCTCACACGCGCCGTCCCGCCCGCCTCGCTTCCTCTTCCCCTCAGCGGCGGCGGCGGCGGCGGCAGCAGGCCTGTGACTCCTCCGAGCCCGGCCCGGCGCGGCCGCTGCCCTCCTGCATGTCTTTACTGCCCTCAGCCCCGCCGCCTGAGCAGCCGCCTCAGCCCCCTCGACGGACGCCCCGCGGGCTGGATGCAGGTGAGCGCCCGGGCCGGAGGAGAGGAGGAGAGGCCTGGTCTTTGTGGGGCTTCGGCGTGGCCCTCTCCTTTCAACCCCCACCCCCCACACGCGGGAGGGGCCGGCTAGGCTAGGCCCGGCTTGGGCCTGCGGTCTCCCCTGCCCCACGCCGCCTTCCTCGGGGGTGGGGGGGGGGACACACACGACGAGCGCGAGGCGAGGCCGGGGCCTGCGGGGAAGGGGAGGCCGAGGGTGGGTGTGGAGGGCGGTGCGTGCGTGGCCCGCCCGGCCTTGTGGTCCGCTTCGGTGGAACCCCCGCGCGGGTTCCCTTTGGGGAGGGAGGCGAGACCCGTGTTGGGGAGTTGTGTGGATGTGTGGTGTGGTGTGTTGCGGAGGGGAGGGGGGGGAGTTGTGTAAGCCTCTGCCGCGCGCTGTGCCTCGGCCGTGTTGGGAGATCGAAGTTGCTGGCTGGCTTCCTGGGCCCGTGGGTTGTGTGGTTTTTATTATTATTATTGTTGTTGTTTTGCGAAGGGGGTCGTCGCGAGCTGACGGGCAGGCTGGTGGGGAGAAGTGACTTGTTCTGTTTACTTTCGTTCGTAGGCAGCTTTCTCTCCCTCTCCGGGCAGCCCCCCGAACCTTTCGCAACGAAACCTAAACCTGCAACGGAGCAAGAACCGCACAGGAGTCCAGATGCAACTTTAAAGGAGGGACGGGAAAGAGCAGGAGTCCAGGAGCACTTGAAAGACTAACAAAACATGTGGGACGAGCTTTCCTGAGTCACCGCTCACTTCTTCGGTGACTCAAGAGAGCTTCGGTGACTCACGAAAGGTCACCCCCCCTGCCACATATTTTGTTAGTCTTTCAGGTGCTCCTGGACCAGTGTTCCCTCTAAGCTGAGTTAGTGTGAGCTAGCTCACAGTTTTTTAGCTTCCAGCTCACACATTTTTGTCTCAGCTCAGGAAGGATGGCTTCAGAGCAAACTAATTTATGCAGTAGCCAAATCGTTTGCTCGCAACTTTAATGCCAGTAGCTCACAAAGTAGAATTTTTGCTCACAAGACTCCACAGCTTAGAGGGAACATTGTCCTGGACTCTGGCTCTTTTCTACTGCTACAGACAGGCTGACATGGCTACTCGTCTTGATCTATCTCTAAGGAGGGACAGTTTGCTCCAGCAGAGTAATAAGGAAAGGGAAATCAGGAGGGTGATGACAAAGACAGCATGGACACATGAAACGGCCTTATACTGAATTTGATCCTTGGTCCATCAAAATCAGTATTGTCTACTCAGACTGGCAGCAGCTCTCCAGGGTCTTGGGCATAGGTCTTTCACAGCACCTACTGCCAGGTCTTTTAATTGAGATAATGGGGATTGAACCGGGAACCTTCTGCATGCCAAGCAGATGCTCTGCCACTGAGCCACAGCCCCTCCCTCTGCCGGAGACCCTGGAGAGCTGCTGCCAGCCTGAGTAGACGATACTGACCTTGATGGACCAGTTCTGCATAAGGCAGAGCTTCGTGTGGGAAGGTGCAGCTGTTAGATTTCGAGGGCCGCTTCAGATGTTGTTAAGGCAGCAACAAATCTGGGAGCTAGTGTGGTGTAATTGTTAGAGTGAGATCTGGGATGCCCAAGATCTAAGAAACCTGGGTTCATATCCCTGCTCTAGCTATGAAGCTTGCTGGGTGACCTGGGGCTGATGCCTTTTAGCCTAACCTACCTCGCAAGGTTGTTGTGAGGACAAAAATCATAAAGAGAGATCCACCTATGCCTCCTTAGAGAAAGAAGGCTAAAAATGGAATTGCTAAAATAGCTAAAAATAGAATCGCTTTGTCAAAAGCGTGTATACTTCCCCTGGAGCTTTTGTAGGTTTTTATGTTGTTTTGAACTGATGAAAGAGGCTGGATGTGAGTGTTTTTACATAAGCAAATATGGCTGTGAAAGAGTGTGTGCTCAGAAGGCAATAGTTGGGTTGGACGTTTGCTAGTGAAAGGTGGCAAAATATGCATGGAAAGGGAGGCTGTTGGATTTCGAATGCCATATCACACAAGTTGTACAGCAAGAGACATGGTATATGTTCTTCGCAGGTAGCCACAGCTGAGGATTTCACACTTTTGGCTGTACTCCTTTTTTATTTTTAAACCTAGGTGTATTCTTAAACTATAATTGTGAGAAGGCCCTAATGTGTAGCGTGTGTTGGTGTGCAGAGAGGGCTTTTGTGAAAGGCATTGCATCCAGAGGGGTAAGGTTTGCAGGACAAGAAAATTTGAGGGCGAGGAATGTGTTTTGATATAAGTGGGGTATCAGTGAACATGGGTGGGGGAGCTGTATGTGATAAGTGTGGTGTGGGATTGTGTGGTTATAGAGACACTGGAATAGTGGTATGAATTTGTGGTCATGAGTCTTAAGTATGTATGGAGTGTCTTAAGTATGTACAAAGATTGTGTTGAGGGGGATTATCAGTTCAGGCTCGCAAAAAAGTAGGGGTGCTGTCGAGGTTTACTTTTTGAGCTAATGTGTTGTTGTTAGAGAGTTGGACTTGGATCACGGAGATCTGATCCTGAATCTCCACTTATCAGTGAGGTTCACTGACTAACTTTAAGCCGCCTTTAAGCTTAACTTAAAGACTAACTTTAACTCTTTTGCCCTGAATTACATGGAAGAGCTGTTGGAAGGACACAATGGAATATCCTCCACCCCACCGCCCCAGCATATCACTTTAAGGTCCTTTGAGAAAGGCCGGGATCTATATGTGAGAGATGAATAGAAGCATCCATTATTCCATCCACTAGATGCATTGTAAAAGTTGGACACTCCACTGAATTATGAGACATTCTGGAGTTAAGAGCAACCCTTTTAATGTAATGGACATCCCGCAACTGTAGTCTGCAGGAAGCGTGTATGAAAGAGAGGAAAGGCTTCATCTGACTGCTATCTGAGGGTGTATTCAAACATAGCCTACATCAGACAGTGGCACCGCTATAGAACTGAGCTTTCTGTGCTCATGTTTATGAGCCTTTCCCCAGAATGGAGTTCTAAAGAACTTGGTCAGGTGTGGTTTCTGAAATCACCCCCCAGGCCATTTTCCATCTCCCCCCCAGCACAGAAGAACAAAGTGCTGGATGAACATTCAGTTGGGTACATCTGTAGACTTTTTTTGCTTAAAGGCAGGTAGCCCACCTGAAGCATGCGGAAGATGCAGCAACTTAGATAACAAATCAAATGCTAATTCAGTGGATAAGCATGTGTGTCAGCAGATTCAGGAGGGTGCTCATGTTGGTCTGAAGCAGCAGAACAAAGTTTGAGTCCAGTGGCACCTTTAAGACCAACGAAGTTTTATTCTGGGTAGAAGCTTTTGTGTGCACATGAAAGAAGTGTGCACGTGAAACCGGATCCCCAGAATAAAACTTTGTTGATCTTAAAGATGCCAATGGACTCAAACTTCCTTTTTTTCCTGTCAACAGTACTTGCTAAGGAGGGTGGGATCTAGTGGAGTCTTGTTTTTAACATTCATAAACTGTTTGCATCCCAATAAGAAAAGACTTTCATTAACCTTTGCCATACTCTACTTTTAAATTTCCTTCAGACGCTGGCTAGTTGTTCTCTTCTTCTCCCTGCATCAAAGTAAGAATCTCAGGAGGTTTCTCTCCTTGCTCTATGGAAGGTTGGAGGATGTGTTGATTTTGTGTTTCAAGGCCAGGGATAGGGATCTTATAAGGAGCTGTTGTGTTCCTCACGGCTTGTCTGGACAGCACCTCAAATTTCACCATGTCAGGTTTATCATTGTAGCTGTAACCCAGCAGTGGGGGGCATGGGAAACGCCGAAGGAAAAACCTGCGGTGATCCTGCTATTCGGAAATAATTCAGGTTGTACGGGCCAGAATGCATCAGCCAAGTTGACTCAGTGTCCCTAACACCTGAAAAAAAAATCCTCTATCTGGACTTAAATAAAGAACAGGCCTGATAAACCTAACTTAAGTTTTATTCCAGGTCTTCTGTTAACACACTGCTCTGTAAAGGTGTAACCAGAATGCATAGTCAAACTACTAGATCCTTGGGTTTTGTTTTTGTTTTCCATTGTATTATCATGTTTTGAAGGGAAACATTGGTATAATCTGGTTGTCCAGAGACTCTGTAATATACTGGAACTATGTAGGAGAAAACAAAGGGAGAGGTCAAAAGTAGTTGGAAAGGGAATGTATATTAACCCCTTGGGGGGGAAGAGAACTGGTTGTTTATGGTATTCTGCAAAGCTCCTTGTTTAACTGATGTTGCTGTATAAGTAATAATGTTGTAAAGTTCAGTAGAAGGATTTTTTTCAGCATGGGAATATTTGAGCTTGAGCCCCTCTGGATGTCTTTGGGCATTTAGATTGACCCTTCTCCTTCAGTGGGGGGAAGTCATCCAGAAACTGGTTAGGTCACGCCTCTGCTCGCTCGATAGGCTATGCAAATTCTTTTGTTGCGTGGCTCCTATTGGAGTGGCCTAGGCTGACCTCTCCAGTTTTCTGCATAGCCCTGCGCTCGGTAGGACGTCTGGAGCTCCTACTCCAAGCCAACCGACTGCAGTTGTTTCAAGGAAGTAGAAAAAAAAAAAAATTTAACAGACGGCAGCAAGTAGCTCTTCCCTCCATCTCTAGGAAGAAGAGGACTTGGAAGAGATGGCTCAGGAAGACGATAAGAAGAGGCAGCCCCCACAACTTCCCGAGGTTCCGGGAGGGGGGGCAAGGGCCGAAATGGAGCGCCCCAAGACTCAGCAGCCCGATTCCTCCAAGGTACCGGGGGATGGGCTGCGGAACGATCAGCGGCTGGGAAACGCGCCGCTGCAACGGCCGGAGAAAGGGCACTCGGGCAGCGGGGAGTCGGCGGCGCGCCAGCAGCTAGCCGGCCCCAACTCCAATCCCCCACACGTGGCGCAAGATGGCGCCGACGGCGGCGCGGCGGCGTCTGGCACCGGCGGAGGATTCGAGCGGTCTGAGTTTGACTCCCGCTCTCCTCCGCCCGCCAAGAAGAAGAAGCGGTCCGG